TTTTTTTTTGGTATATATGTGCTCCTGCTTACATTCTCCCTTTTATTTTTAGTTTTGGGGGTTTGTTTATTTTACCAAGATGATTTAACTTGGAAATAACAGGAAACTCTGATTCAAATTGGCTTAAGCAGCAAGGAAATATATTATCTCAGATAACAAAAAGTACAGAGTGTCCCATTGTATTATAATATTGAGCCCATTTTTCTGCAATTCTCTAGGCACTGCCCTTGGGCTAGCAAGATGATGATAGCAAATTTTTTTGAAATAATTTTTTATTGTTATAAAGGTGATATACAGAGGAGTTACAGTTATGTAAGTCAGATCAAGAGTACATTTTTTTTTGGACAATGTTACCCCTTCCCTTGCGCTCAGTGATAGCAGTTCTCAGAATTATATCAAGATAGCTAGTAAAAAAGGGGGCTAGTTTTTTCTTTTACCTGTCTCTTTAGAGTAAGGAAATTTTTCTTAGTATTCTTTCCATTCCTGAATCACTCGCTAAAAAGGAGACTTAAGATGACCATAACTTACTCAGCATAGTCATGTCAAGGTGAGATGACTATTGAGAACCAACCACTTCATTCTAATCAGACTTGCTATTTTATTGCTAATAAGCAAATAAAATATTGTTGGTCTTATCATAAGCTTTTGGTTTATTGATCAAGTACTCTGCCTTCATTTTCAAACAAACATGTTTTAAATATATATTTGTCTTTGGTCCAGATATGTGTTGTGTTTCTACCTTATTTAGATTTACTAATCATTATTTCTAAACTTCCTGTTTTCAAATAAATTTACAAAGGGCTTGAACCTTTTCCTTCTATTGCTGTTTTGGACATATGAGTTAGATGATGTTGTTTTGAATTTCTTTCTCTTATTTCTTTTCTTTCTTTTTTGTCAGATTAGCTAGGGGTTTAACAATCTTAATAATTTTTTGAAAGAATCAGCTTGTTTCATTGAATAGGTTTTTTGTTTGTTTGACGTTTTTTTTTTCGCTTCTATTAGATTAATTTCTGCCCTGATTTTTTTTTTTTTTTACTATTTTTCTCAGTCTACTAGTTGTGGGTTTGATTTACTCTTCTTTTTCTAGAAGATTTAGTTGCACTGTAAGCTCATTTATTTGAGTACTTTAAAAAAATGTAGACATTAGAGTTCTGGAATTTCCCCTCAACTCTGCTTTTGCTGTATTCTAGAATTCTGGTAGGAATGTCACATTCATTAGATTTTGTTATATACTTCTATCCATGTTGTTTTTAGACAGTTTACTACTTTAGTTTTATTTTCTTAATCCAATATTTACTTAGAGGGATTTTTTTTTGGGGTCCAGTCGTGGGGCCTGAACTCTGGGCCTGGGCACTGTCCCTCAGCTCTTTGGCTCAAGGCTAGCGCTCTACCACTTGAGCCACAGCACCACTTCCGGCTTTTTTCTTTTTGCTTATGTGGTGCTGAGGAATCGAACCCAGGGCCTCAAACATGCAAGGCAAGTGCTCTACCACTGAGCCACCTTCCCAGCCCTAGAGGGATTTTTTTTTGTTGCATTTATTTTGTCTTCAAGGAGCATGGGCACTATGTGGTTTTCTACTTTTTATTGCACATCAGTTGGTAAATATGGCCTGTATGAAGTAAATGTGTGTGTGTGTGTGTGTGTGTGTGTGTGTGTGTGTGTGAATGTAAGTACATATATATGTCAAGACTGTGCTTGTATTTGTGTGTATGTATGTATGTTCTAGATCTGTTTTAGTATGTGTCCCATGGCACTTAAAAACAATGTGTATTCTTTATTGAGGCTTGAACTCAGGGCATGGGATTTGTTCCTAAGCATCTTTGGTCAAGGCTAGCACTCTACCACTTAAGCCACAGCTTTACTTCTGACGTTTTGGTGGTTAATTGGAAATAAGAGCCTCATAAACTTTTCTGCCCAGGATGGTTCTGAACCACATCCTCAGATATCAGCCTCCTGAGTAGCTAGGTTTACAGCTGTAAGCCACAGATCT